ATAAGAGATCTCGCGGGCTATTGTTTTGCGAACTTTGTAATGGCGGACGGTATCTACGCACTTTTCAGTGGGAAATTTCCAGCCCCCGCACGCAAGTATCGTTCCAGTTTTTCGCTAATTGTATAATTTTAAACATATAGAAAAGATTTATGTTGAAAAAACCCGGAAACAAAAACAAAAATTTTCGTCGTAGTAGCACTTTAAGGGTGAACTGTTAATCGGGATGTTGTTAAAGGACCTCTTATCTAACCCGAGGACCTCTTTGTGCATGTAGCAAGGAACCGATTGGTGTCGGTTTGGACACCCCTGGTTCCTTCGTTCACTTGTTAGGACGTCATTCGTATAAAACTTTTTGTTATTTCAGTTGTTTGCGTATTGTAATACTGCTCTGGTAAGGTCTTGGCAAAGGCTACGTGCAAGCCAAATTTCATTGCAATCGACTAAATTCGCGCAAAGTTCTGAGCGTTTGAAATTTTGTTCAAAATGGCGTACTGGAGTGTCCTGTCCCAGGCTCCTCCCGGTATTTACACCAAGTCGAGGTACACTTTAACTCCCTCTATCTCCTCGGGGTTTTGACTTGAGACTTTCAAACAAAGGGATCGTCGAAAGGGGGAGAAGGCCTTGTGTGGAGATGTTTCTTATGTCGCACTAGAATAAATGAAGTACCCAGTTACCCAAAAATGACCAATTTTAGTGACACCTCGCGTCCATGGAATTTAACTACTTTCTAAAATGTTTGGTGGTTGGACAGCACAATCTATGGACTTACTACTCGCGAAGAACCACGTCAAAATATTTTATTAGAGAGGAGATATAGTCAGTTAAAGTGACCCCTCTTGGTGCAATTTTTAGTGTTGTAGGACCCTTGTTATTCGAACTTGAGGACCTCCTATTCATGTTTGAATGATGATTGATGCTTGTTTTAAGCTGTGATATTGTTGGAGGACCCTTGTTATTAGAGCTTGAGGACCTCCTATTCATGTTTGAATGATGATTGATGCTTGTTTTATGCTGTGATGTTGTCAGAGGACCCTTGTTATTAGAATTTGAGGACCTCCTATTCATGTTTGAATGATGATTGATGCTTGTTTTATGCTGTGATGTTGTTGGAGGACCCTTGTTATTAGAAGTTGAGGACCTCCTATTCATGTTTGAATGATGATTGATGCATGTTTTATCCTGTGATGTTGTTGAAGGAGCCTTGTTATTAGAACTTGAGGACCTCCTAGTCATGTTTGAATGATGATTGATGCTTGTTTTATGCTGTGATGTTGTTGGAGGGCCCTTGTTATTAGAGCTTGAGGATCTCCTATTCATGTTTGAATGATTCTTTATGCGTTTTTCATGCTGTGACGATGTTGATGGACCTCCTTTTTTGGAACTTGGACACCTTTATTACAACTTCAGGCTCCTTTTTTTTTTCCCTTTCGTTATGTTCTTGCTCCTGTCAGGTGTTTCTTCCATCTAGCTTACAAATGGAAAAACCTACGTCCACAACATCCGAGGACCTGGACGATGTAATCAACCTCATGAAGCAGGCCCCCCTGGACGACCGGGATGCCCAAGACACATTTGACATCAGCCAAGGCATCGAATTTCAGCCCCCCCGACGCCTATTATCCAACAGACACGGGGCAGTCCTTGGCCATGGCGCTATATGACTTCTATAACTTTGTGGTGGCCACTGAGTTTTGTAACCTGCGCCACGTCAGCTCCGTCACATGCAGGATGATGTCGCACGTCCAATACGTGTATCAGTCTATCGCCAAAAGGCGCTTTAAGTGCTCCCGAAGCCTTAAAGGCAAAGAGGTGGCTACACGCGCGCATAACGTCCTGAAGGATACCTGCAGATCCGTGGCCATGTGCCGCAGCGTGCAGCGGCTCCACAAGAGAAGGGTCGAGACCATGAGAAGAGAGGCCAACAGGGAGGGGGATGTGACCAATGATAGTGACGCAGACCCTGATTGGTCAACCCAGGTTAGTTGGCGCACCTTCTTACTAGCTTCATCACAAGCTCTTTGGTGTTCAACTTGAAGAAATCAATCAACTAACTTTCTCACCTAACTTCCTTAGGAGACAGACACGTTCGAAGACGGGGAGGTTCCCCAGGCTGAATTAGGCCAGCAAGAGGATGGTGAGAGCGAAGAGGAGGGGGAGACCAGTCAAAAGGGGGCAGAGCCCGAGAAAGAGCCGAAGACCCTCGCTTGCAAGACAGCAAGAAGAAAGAGGCCCTGTCTGGTTCCTGGCTGTAAGGGTTTCTCTAGAGTAAATCTGAAGAGACATCTGACCAAGGTACACCTAGTATTATGTGTAATCTGTGTTCCCGTCCCCATGCAGAACATCAAGTCATAATCAAAATGTGCAAGTTAAAATTGTTCATTACTGCTCTTTGTTCAAGGTTCACTACTCCAAGGGTGAGCTGTCTAAGGACGACGTAGAGCGCCTCTTTGCCCTGTCCTGTGCAGGCTCAAAGAAATCTGGCCCTATCAGACAGTACGCAAAGAAGAAGAGCGTACCTCAGGTGAAGAGGAGGCGGTGGTGCCCCGTGGAGGGCTGCAACTTTCTTGGGGAGTACCTGCCCCAACATCTCACACAGGTCCATAAAATGGAACACAAATGTACGTCTGACCGTTTCTCCGTGTTTTGTAGATTACAATGCCTAACCAGGGTCTTTGAAAGTTGGTACTGTCACATGTCAACCGTCTATATTGTTTCTCATTGATGTGCTTCTTCTATCTTCAAAGGTCAGAGATACAAGAACACACTCCGAATGGCCAGACATTATCAGGGCAGTCATGAGGAGATCCAAAGCTGGCGGCCACCTGTCTCAACACCTCTCCCCCCTAAGCCCACCTCTCCTCTAACGCCCACCAAAAGGCCCTTGGTGGAGATCTATACAGACTCCTCCTTGGATTCCCCTGCCATCTAAGAAGAGGAGAGAAGTGCCTTCAGAAGACCCATGGGAAGCAGTGCCTCCTACACCCCCCACACCACAATACCATCTGTGGCGCCTGTCTCAGACACAAAGGATGACCCGCAAGAGTCTGACTCTGCATCTGAGTAGGGGTATGAGAACGAGGAGGCATTCTTCAGTGAACCTAAGCCCCTGACGCCTCGCCACAGATGGTTGGTGGCATTCTACCACCACTTAGCCACCCCTGCAGCAGGGTTCGACCAAGAAATAAACTGGTAAGAATAAGGTCATGCCTTTACATTTCCAATCATGCCAACTCCATGGTTTTTATGTTCAAACCTGGGTTAAAGATTCATTATTTCATTTCGCTTTTGTTTTAGCCTGCAGCATGCGGTACAAGTGAGAAACCTGCTGGAACAGTTACAGCCATCTGGCAGTGACATCCAGGTGCTCTCCCAGGAGGATGGATGCAAGGTTTGGTTACATTGGGTTGTGCCCAATCTAACTAAGAAAGCAGCTGGAACCCTCAAGAGCTATTTGAACTTACTCCACATGTCCTTGGAGTTTCTTACAAACAAGGGCAAAAAGCCAGACTTGCCTGTTCTCACGAGTCAAGACAGCAAGATCCTGGCAGAGCTCTGTACCAGCCTAAAGGGATGGAGGCGCACCATAACCAAGCAAAAATCATCTGTGCGCTATGCAAAAATCCTCAGCAAGATGGAGAGGTACACTAATTTCAGAACTATCTGCCCTAAGTTTATTAGCCTCTGGCTATTACGTGCTACCCTGGATACATATATAATTCTTTATTGTTATGATTATTATCACTACAGTCTGATGAAGACCAGAGAGGTCCATGCCTTCATGGAATCTGAGCCATCAAAGGAGGGGCAAGTGGCCTTGGCAGCCGCCAAGAAGTCGACCAGCAGCCATGAGCTGAGCCTCTCGCAGTACACGGTGGCGAGGGACTACCTGCTGGTTGCCCTCACAAGGACTGTTGGGATGCGTCCTGGCTCCCTAGAGATGGCCACTCTTGGCCAGTTTCGTATGGCCAAGTGGGATCAGAAAGAACGAAGCAAGGTGATGCTGGTCACCGGCCACAAGCGGGAGGTGGAGGGACCTGCGCCCATTCCAATGAGCGAGGAAATGGTCGAGCAGCTAGAGGCATTTACCACCAAGCTCAGAGTGCTGGTGACGCAAGACTTTTCTGACTCCGGGAAGATCTTTCTGAAGTCCGATGGTGCGCCCTACCAAAAGGGCACGATCGGCCGGCGGATTACCGCCTTTGTCATCAAGAGCGGTGTCCGTGCCGACTGGCTGATCAGCGCCACGGACTTCAGAAAGTGGTTGGTCACAAGAATGAAAGATCACAAGCGGGCCGGCATGCCCATAGATGAGGATCTGCTGCGGCACTTGATGTGCCACAGTGACTAGACGGCACAGACCTGGTAAGTAACATAGGAATACATCCATTTATACGCAGCTTTACGAACATGTCCTTCTCCCAAGCATAATGACATTGATACAATGTACCTCAGGGAAGATTTAACAGAGCTTGCAGCCGAAGTGTCGCAGCAGATCCAGCTGCATACAACATCAACATCGATGCCAAAGGAGACCGAGGCCACACTTATGGAAAGCTTGCCCACCAGCCCCTACCATGCACGTCGTTCCATACATGCTCTGACCCCAGAGAAGACTGCCGCCATTTCTGTCATCTTTCGAGATGACCTCTGGGAAAGAACATCTCCCTGGAAGAAACGCGTGGTGTCTCTCATATGGAGTGACGAGACACTGAGCAAGATCGTGCACTCCGGGGAGAAGGTGAAGCGGGTGGTGGACCGGGTGCGGTACTTGGGTCCAATCTCAGCAGCCTGTCGGCCCCACCAACCTCCCGGAGGATGACCCAGAAACTAGGACCCACACTTGTGTCCTCTCACACCCACCAGAAGAAACTTCGCCTGCATCCCTTTTCTCTTCTGCCTTGGGCAGAAAGTCGTGGAGTGAGGAGAAGACAGAGCTTATCAGAACGGCCCTTGCCCACCTGGACAAGGTACCAACAAATAATGACATCCATTCAATCTTCTGTTCCTCTATCCATCTGGAGGCCATCTTGCGCAAAAATCCATTCGAAAGGATAAGGAACAAGGTGCACAACATGTTCAAGAAGCACCATTAGGAGACGATGGCTGGGTGCCTGCCAGAGAAAAAAAAAATAAAAAACTTTGAAAAAAAACGAAACAAAAAACCAAAAAAAAAGTCCGTGTGGTCACTGTTGTATCCTGTTGTCTGGTTCTGAGGGGTTCGTTAGGGATCAAGTGCGAGCTGGGGTAACCAATCCCCGGTGAGTGCCCCACGAATCACTCAGTCTCACGACAACAGGTACATCACATCACACGGCACCCGTTGTGTTTTTTTTTTTCCTTGCGTCGTTGTGTTTTTTTTTTCTCATTGCGTTTTTAACTCCGCCATTGCCAGTCCCAAGCCCGGATGAGAAAGGAGGAGAATTGGGCTTTGGGCTTGCATCCCTAGCCTGTGAAAAACACTTGAGCTGCACAAGATTCTTGTCAAAGTGTCAAGAGCTGAAGACTTAGTCTTGTTCTTAGCTAACAGATGTATCACAATGGAATAAAGTGTCATCGAAAGTTCTAATAGAGTACTTGTTCTTTGTTGTTGGAAGGGATAATGGACTTCAAGTTTTTTTAATCAAACAACAACGTATTATATATTGTTAGAAAGGTCTTGACCATAGGAACATTTTGGTGTATTTAGATTTTATGAACCCTTCAATGCGCATGCGCTAGATGACCGCCACTGTTCACAAGGGCTAGGCAATCAACATGTTTTTGCAAGAAGTTTAAAACCTCAGACAAACTGTGCCTATGACTATGCCTATAATCCAGACCACGATAGCTGACTATGGCTGCGACTATGAAAATCACTCTGGCTATGACAATGGCTATGATATATTTATCTAAGTCATATAAGTAAGCTAAGGGGTGAAAGTGAGAATAACTTGTTTTAAGTCTTGGAGACCACTCTTAAACGCGCTAGAAGTTCCTTTTGGTGATCGTTAAACCTGTAGCAGGAGTTTCAGGGAAATTTAAAATTTTGACCAAAATGGCCATTCAAAAAAATCAAAGATGGCGGACATGAAAAAGGGTGCTCTCATGAGAACTGATCTAACTCCTTAACGTACCATAGGTTCTCCTTGCAATTGGAGACAACAATACATAAGGCATTGAACTAATAACGCGCCAAATATGAAAGCATTCTACCTAGAGACAAGGGAGTTACAGTTCTTTAAAGATTGACTGGCGAGACTTGAAAAATGGGCTAAGGAGTGAAAGTGAGGTAAACTCGTTTCGTGAAAAACTGCTATGTGCGCGAACCCGGTATAGTTACAAACCTCCTGAATGATCTGATCTGGCACTCATTAGAACTGAGACACAAAATTGCAAGACTTACTAGCATGTACAAGATAGCGAAGAAAAAATTGCCGTTAATATCCCAGAGTAGATATAGCGCGCCCCACACGTCTTAAACGCTCCTACCATAGCAGTAAATTCATTAACATTGGCAGTAACAGTAATACCTATAAGTATAACTTCTTTACCAGAACTATAAAAGAATGGAACACACTACCTTCTTTTTATTAGACCAGCCAACTGTGGACAATTTTAAATCTACTATAATGAATTATCTTAGTTCCCTCCCCTTATTTTGTATATCTATTATTATTATTGTCATTGTTATTATTATTCATGCATTTACTTATTTCTCCTTGTAATGTTATAGCACCGCTTTTTTCTTGTAGTTTTTAGTTTTTCACATGCACATTTACAGTGATGGGAAACCTTTGTGAATTATAGTATATAAATAAATAAATAAATATGTAAGATGCACATCAATTGAAGAAGTTTGTCACTAAGCATTATGTTTTACTTAAATACAACAGTTCGCAAAAGTTTCAAGACAGATTTACATTAATTTTAAAATCAATATATAATATTTTTTTGACATATGAAGGTTTTCAGAGTGGAATGAAATTGCTGTGGTGGTTTGAAGCAGTGAATTTGAAGAAAGTGAGGATGAACAGATTGACATACTTGATGTGGAGGTATTAACACTGCTTTCACCAATAGCTTGAGTTTACTATCATGCAACAGCTTAACAGTAAAGTTGAGCAGGTATTCAATGTAAAGAAAATGTAATTGGCAGAAAATGCCAATTATTGTCTACTGCACTGAAAAGAAACTTAGTTAAAAATGGAGAACAGTCATCTAGGTCAGGAAAACCTAAAACTATCTGAGAAAACTAGGTGTAACTAATTCCCTATAGAGAGATTAACAGATGTCTTTCGCTTTGTTGCATTCACTAATAACTCTTGGACTAGGTAAAGATGTAAATCGCCAAAGTATGTGACTTGTGAAATATCTTTATTGTCACAGGTATTAGAATGAATGACTGGCAACAAGATTGGCAGCAAAGTTGCATATTGGTCAATACTTATGTCTTTGGTAGCTATAGACTTTGATAATTTGCCGTTTCGAAGATTAATGGAATTTTTTGGAAGATTAGTGACATGCCAAACATGAAGGGCACTATGGGAAGGTTTTTGGGGGCGCACGTTTGCTTGAAAAAGCAACAAGGTGAATGAAGACAACATTTCTAGCGATAAAAAGGCCGATATTACTCTTGAAGAAAGCAATTTATCGGGTGCTATAAACCACTTTCATAAATGGCTGCTGGATTAATACTCTTTTGTTTAAATTTAAATTAGCCTTTCTGGCCTCGTTCTCCAGTACAAAATTCAACAGAATACAAAAGAATACATTATCTCAAGCGAGGCCAGAAGGGCTAATTTAAATTTAAACAAAAGAATATTAATCCGGCAGCCATTTATGAAAGTGGACTATTCTATCTAAACCCTCCAGAGCAATGTAGTAAAGTAGTTTTGAAAAGATGGCTTGCTTGTCGAGGTGGAAAGTCGGTGGAAGTCGAAATGAATTGATATCAAGGTTTGTGGTTTGTTTTGAGGCCTTTGAACTGTTTGAAGACTTCTTACAATAATTAATTACACAGCACAATCCTCTACATAAACAAAAATAGATTCAAGCTATTGAGTGACGATATTTAATAAGAAAAACTCGTTGTTAAATTGAAATTTAGAGAGCTTAAGCACCAGACGTTCTTGACAACACGAACGGAAGAGAAGCCGCGCAAGACTGGATCGAGGCCTTTGTTCTTGGCGCGAAATAGGAAGGTTAAGCAGTCGACGTTTTTAAGACACGGACTTCTACCCGTGTTAACATGTCCTTGCTAAAAGATGCTAGAGATATGACCTTAATGAGCAAGGGAATAAGTTTCTTTACTTCACACTCTTGACAGAATGAATAATTCGTCTTTCATATTTATTAGGCGTCTTGAAATTTACCACTTCATAGTTCTGTAAACTATGCGAACACACGAGCGGGCATGAAGTTTTCAGTGCATGATCTGGATGCCTAGAGGGCCATTTCTCTTTTTCTAAATTCGTTAACCACAGCGAGATTTGTTATTCTTATGTTTGTAGTCAGTTGCTCAAAACCTAGCAGACATGCATACGATATACAATGTGCAGTTACAAAATACAACCGATGCAGAAAGACAATCATCTATCTGATTTTGCACTTTGTTATTGTATCTAAATGTCGCTAAGTGTCTTAATTCTAGATTATCGCTCAAAGTAATTTGTGATAAGCTTAAACCTGGTTTAAAAAATCTTAGTTCTACATTTGATGATTCAAATGGACATGAAATCAAATGACTTAACTCACCCAGACTTGGCGAGAAGATTGTCTGCCATTGTCGAATCCCATTTAATCTATCGATTAAGCAAAAACCACTTTACGCGCTACGAAAACGTTTTTTAATCACTTCATGAAAAGCAGAAGAGCTTTTTATGGTTTTGAGTCAATAATTTATCTCCTATAAACAAAATAACAGCATAGTTTTGTGGCGTCCTACCTTCAACCTGAAAAGTGGCGTTCTGGCGTCTGCGACGTGACTACGCGAACGTTATGACATGCGCAATATGTACCTAGTTCCTCTAACGACTTCCGGTAGGCGTTCGTGACCTCAAGAACGTGTGGTGCTTAAGCTCTCTATTGTAGTCTTGTAGCTGTTGTTTTTAGTATTCTTGAGTTATACCAACTTTATTTTAGACTACCAGGTCCAATTTTTTATTAATGATATGCTTTTTCTTATTTATTTTGTTGTTGTATTAATTTAAGAGTCAAGGACTATACCAAAAACGGTCTTGACAAGAAGTTGGTTGACCCTGACAACGGTGTAAACATTGCACAAAAGATGCTGAAGCTTGGCCTCACCGAGGAGATAGTCAGTCCTGAAATCAAAGAAAACTTTCCTTCCAATGGATTTACCTTTGTGTTAGGTCAATTACCAAAGATCTGTTACAGCCACATATTGAGGATGTGGAGTTACGCAAGTAGCTTTCAACAGAAAACCCTATAGTGAAAGGTTACAACTTCTATAAATCTGGACATGTCTTGCAAATATGGACTAAACAAGAAAATAGTCTTCACTATGTGAGAAGCAGAGTTTTGCCTTCTATGACAAAGACGAAGGTTTACACAGTAAACATTATTTTTCATCCCAGTGGAAATATTTCAAAAGCATACTGTGGCTGTCCTGCAGGCATTGATAGCAGGTGTAATCACCTTGCAGCTACTCTATTTGCAATAGAAGTACAGAGCACTTCAGAAGCCAGGTCAGATGATAATGTTGCTACTTCTAATAAAAATTTACCTTATACTTCTAAGCCCTGTTCATGGAATGTTCCTAGCCGCAAGAGGAAAGTTGAAAATTCTACAATTCAGTCAATTACCTTTAAAAAACATGAATATGATAAAAAGGAAAAACATACATCAAGGGAGAAGTCTGATGTAAGAGCACCTCATAAACAAATGGTTGATGTTGAGAGTCAAAAGGCTTTTTTATCTTAGGGTGAAAGAAGTGGAAGCACTTACTGGAAAAAGAATGGCATTGAGTTTTAAATTCCTGCATGCTGTCCCTACTACCACTACACCGCCACAGAGCAGTAACAGTGCCACAAGTACTAACTCCAATCAAAATCTTTGGGAGCTATCACTACCTGAGAGTCGTGGTCCTCTGTCATCGAATGATATCGCTGTCAGAGCTGATAGTATCAAAAAGGCTTTGTACAATTCTGTCCAGAAAAGGGGTGAAATTGAAAGGAAAACTAGAGAACAGCAAAGCCCTGCCTGATAAAAGAAAATTGTTTCGGACTATGGCTCTGTCGATCAGTTTTAGGCTAGTTCCCGTTACTGAGCGGAGCTAATCCCCGTTTACTGGTCTAGTCCTTCAAGTATGTGCCATGTTTACAAGTTCTCTAGTGGCAATATTTGCCAGGCTCATTAGCTCCTGAAAAGCCATCAAAAAGATACGAAAAATATCATTCCACTTTTCGTTGATATGGTTGCATTGTTGAAAAGTCACTTTGTCTTTCTTTGAGTAACATAGCTTTCACAGTATAATTGCAGCATAATTCATTCCTCTAATGTCTCAGTTTCACGGCCCAAAATTCCAGGAAATACGTTTTCCAGCACTCCAGTTTTCAAAAAATTTTCTGGGGTGAGGATGCCCCAGACCCCCTACAAACAATGGGCTGAAGCCCATCAAATGGGTCCTCAGGACTCACAACAGTCTACTTTTCAAAAAAACTCTGGCTACTTGAAAACTTAAAGAAAACCTTAAGCGTAAAGGAGAAACTGTGTTGACCCACCTTGCCGATCTGAAGAAGCTAGTGGCTCACTGCAATTTTGGCACAAACCTTTACAAAGCCTTGTGAGATAGGTTGGTGTGTGGCCTTTGCAATGTACAGACACATATGCATTTGCTCTCAGATGCCAAACTGAAATATACCGAAGCCGTGGAGATCGCTGTAGCGATGGAAACAGCCCTTCATGATGCTTCAGAATCGCAAAGTGAGTTTCACTCAGAACAGAACCTGGTGTAGCCGGGAACTTATGGTGTTGGACGAGGAATTATCTTTGGAAGAACGCAAGTCACAACGATTAATGGCTCCCAATCTCAAGCTCTGCCAGTTACGTTTGGTGTACCACATGTACAGGGATCTGTGCTTGGCCCCACTCTGTTTTCCCTCTCTTTTAATGACCTGCCCAATATCACTGAGAGAATAGATGGTGACCCACAGCTGCACATGTACGCAGACAATACTGCCATTTATGTCTTGGCTCTGAGTTATGATCTGGTGGCTCCCAAGCTAAATGAAGTCCAAGCAAAGTTATGTACATGGAGTTGTGAGAACTGTCTCTGCCTCCATCCTACTAATTCGGAGCATATGCTGCTCAGTGGATGTAGGCAACTGACTGGGCCAGACAAAGCTGTTAAGATGGGTAGTTATGTTATCGAGGAGGCTGTTTCTACAAGATGCTTAGGTGTCTAGATAGACGATGGTCTTAAATGGGATCATCGTTTATCGGAAACTAGTGAAGTTGTTCACAAAGAAATTGAACTTACTGAAATCATTGTACTTCTTGCCTAAACAGGTGAGAATTGATTTCTATTTTATGGTTAGGATTTACTTCAAGTTCCTTGGAATGTTGTAGAGATCTGTGAGTCTGTTGATGATCAGTATGACATGTGGAAGACACTTTTTGAAAGTGTAATAGATAACACATGCCGAGAAAGAAGATTAGATTAGATTAAAGAAAAGGACGATATAACAAAAGAGAAAGTATGTGCAAATGTTTGCTCATTATTGCACACCTGAAACCTGGGAGCTCGAAAGAAATTGGAGGAACCGTGCGACAAAAGAGATGCAACGAGCCATCAAGGCATACTAAAGCAGGAAATCTGACAAACTTCAACAAAAGCCAAAGGAGTTCGATAAAACCTTCCAACCATTCCTAAGTAACAAGGGTAGAGAGGTTGAGAAAATAGCCATTGAGATTAACGGGAAAACAGTCACAAATCAGAGCTCAGTGGCGGACTAGCTGTGCGACTATTTTTCAACAATTGCAAATGAAATTGGTGGTCATCAATTGGGGCAAGACTTTAAGAGACATCCTAGTGTTGTCGTGATCCAGCAAGTCAACCAAAACATGCATTTCAGCTTCAACGAAATTAAGGTCAGTGCAGTAGAAATAGAACTTTAAAAGCTTAACAGCTCCAAGGCCTCTGGATGGGATGGAATTGCTCACAAGATCTTAAAGCTGTCAGCCAAAGGGATAGCACCATCACTGACTAGACTCTTTAACACAATAATAAGAAAACGAGAATGGCCAAGCACATGGAAGATGGGACAATGGACACCATTGTTCATAAGGGGAGAAAGAACACACCATTCTAATTATCGACCGATAATGGTCTTAAACTCAATAAACAAGCTGTTCGAGTCATTGCTTTGCCAACAAATAACTGCAGCCATGGATTCACAACTGTATGGAAAAATGGCAGCATTTAGAAAACAACATAGCTGCAAGACAACTCTGTTAAGCTTAACAGAGGATTGGAAGATGGCTGCCGATAAGAGGAGATGTGTAACTGCATCATCCACCACCCTTTTTACAGTTCCTGGTGCCATATTGGATGTGTAACCGTGCAAACATGATAGCGAGGTTAGTGTTGAGTCGCGTTGCGTGTTCTAGCTAGAGTTTAGTGAAATGTGGTGGTGCTCTGTCCTTTTCATCAAGATATTTCGACAATGAATGATACTTTCCCTACGCAGGATATTCCTCCTTCTTCTTCGAAAAGAAGAGAAAGGCACTGTGCCGCTTTTTGGTTGTGCTAATTAACAATTATTCCAGGCGCGCGCGTTGGATATGAGATGATAGATAGCTAATGAGGCGCATAGTGCCGAGTTGGCTATAGTCATCTCATATCCAACAAGCGCGAGTGGAATAATTGTTTTATTAAAAAAAATGCTCCTATGATGTTAGACAAATCTTCTCTACTTTATTTTGTAAGAAGAAACCGGATGTTACAATGTACAGATATTAGATTAAGGTCTATTGGCTCATATACCATAACGGCTAAGCCAATAAAAAGTCTTGAATTGCATTATCCAATGATCCAGTTTTTAATAATAGCTATTATGACACAACAGGCAATCCAACAGGTCTGCATTTCTTCTCGTTTCCGAATGATGTCCAGCAGCGAATCAGATGGTGCAATCTCCTGAAGCACCAGCAGGGAAAGGATGGATTCTTCATCACAAAATCAACTATTTTGTGCTCAGAACATTTCAAAACAGAAGACATGCGAAAAAAAGTGGGCAGGTCGCTGGAAATTGATGAAAGGTTTATAATGTTTGTACCATTGTTTTGTTGCTTGGATACTGAAAGAAAATGCCTGCTTTGATTTTCGGTATTGTAGCGTTTATGCTGGGATTTTTTCTCCTTATTAAAAAGGTGACATTTATATTTCTTTGTGCGCTGTGGTCTTCTTATACGATATCTGTGAACTGAATGTAAAATTATAAAATTATAATGTAAAATTAAAATGCAAAATTAAAATGTAAAATTAAAATGTAAAATTAAAATGTAAAATTAAAAATTTATAAAATAATGAGTTTTATTATTATATATATGGGCAGAACCATCTTGATTTAACTAATCAGTACCGAAAAAAACACGGAAAATGCCTGGTTAAAGGGGCCCAGTAGCAACAGTGACAACTCAAGAAGAGTCATTTGAAGTTGAACACAAATTATTTCAGCAAGAAGTTGAAGCAGCTGTGTCAACTGTCAATGCTGCTTGATCTTCACCAGCCTTGCAACAATGAGATGTCCTTAAGCTGCAACGTGAAATGGAGCTACTGCAAGTACAATTAGCTGACTTGAAAGAAAAACTAAGTGAAGTTGAAAATGAGAGGGATATTTTAATGGCGCGCCACTTTTAAATTGACAAACTTAAAGATGACGAGTCTGCAGCTCTATTTTATACTGGATTCTCAATTTTTACCTTACTGAATTGAGACAGTTTTTCAGATCACCCTCATATTACTAGCTTTAAATGATTTTCCTTATGCTTGGGACGGGTCAACCTCTGTGGAGAATTCATCTGTGGGGATTTACCACAGCATCCTGCATAAATTATTTTCAGCAGGGGAAAAAATCAGTTTTTATAAGAGGTGTTTCATTTTTTAACTATTTAAATGCTTACTTATGTCGATGTTTAGGAGTAAATACTGGTCCACAAGTAACTAAACAACCTGATTACCTTTCATGAACACTTTATAGTAAATTTCCGACTAACCCTCCAGAAAAAAAAAATTAGTTTATTACTTCTCTCAAAATTTGGCGGGAAAAATGTTTGCTGAATGGCATTTTCGTGTAATTTTTAACAGTGGCCTTAGCAATTTACTTAGAAATACCAATTTTAAGTTTGCTGTATTTTAATAAAGGTACAACACGACACAGATACAAAAATTTTCTCTAAAAGTAATCCACAAGCATTTGACAAACAGCACTGCAAAAATTGCAAAACTAGTAAAAATGAACTGAGAGCTGGACTTGATTGATTGATCTGAAAATTCACAAAAGACATGTGAAGAGAAAGATGAAAATCCAGGGTTAGCATGTACATCCCAGCTCCAAGTGTCACAAGAAAGATGTTGGAGAAAACATTTCCCTCGACCAGTCATGGAGGTTGTTGTTAAAAAGACTAAAATAAATGAGTCAAGCAGCCCATGAGGTGCTGAAGGTGTGAAAT